TATGGACATTCCTCTCCAATGTCTCTGCTACTCTACTCAGAGCTACCAGTGTGTCTCCCCTCGATTGCTGTTATTACATTATCTTCTAAATGATTTGAACTCACACTATACTCTCTGCTTTTCTTCAACTCATTCCCTGTATTTTATTTAGACTTTAGTCAAAAACATGCATCTTTGAAATGCAAAACAAAAATATTAAACAAAGCAACTCCCTCCAATTAATTTCTATAGTTCTTAATTGCACTAATTGGGCTCTCTAGCTGCGTCTTTAGTTAATTTATCTTCAATCCTTTTGCTCCAACCGTAATTCCTCTAAAATTCCCATGGCTCACACAGCTCCTTTACCACAGAGCCTTTGCATAACCTTTTTGTTACTATAAATTTCTGGGCTCGCCATCTCTCTGTTAACTCCTGCTCCTGCAGAACTTCTCCCGGGAAACTTACCTGAGCTACCAGGACACCCTCTCATATATGCCACTTCCTCAATGCACAAGCACTCCTCACTGTTGCTGCTGGGCATTTGTTTGCTCATTTGGTTGATTCTATCTCTTCATATTGGACTTGGTGATTGAGGCTGGAGCCATTGTGCTTATATCTCACACGCCTGTGTCCCTGGTACCTAACACTGTAGGCTCTTAAATCAGTGTTCTATAAAGATTGCACACTAGAATTTAAGAAAAGCCAGGCTTCAATAACAAATTAGTCTGCAGACAGCTTAATCGCATGTCTAAGACTTAGCTTATTAACATATTTATTTTCCCCCATTGACATTAATGCTCATATTTTAAAAGTAAAATAGTGATAAAGTTAGATTTTACAATATTGTGTCTCTTAGATGCTAGTTTTCATAAGCTGCCAATATTTAGCATTTCTTTCTATATGGTCATGACCTTTCATGATCCTTCCTCTGTTAGAGTGCTGAAGCTAATATATGTTTCCCTTTTAATATAATATTTTAATTAATCCTTTGAGAATTTCATACAATGTATCCTCACAGATCTACTGCCCATACCTCCAACCTCCTGTCCTCTTTTTTTTTTTTTTTTTTTCTTATAACCCACTGAGTCCACTTGGTGTTGCCCATATACTCATGGGGTCATCTGGTGAATCATGGTCAACCTAACAGGAACCAGACCTTTAAAGGAAACTGACTCTCTCTCCTGGAGAAACTATCAACTGTCAATAGCTCCTCAGGTAGGGGTGAGCCCCTCTTCATCCATGCTGGAATGTTGTCTGGCTTAGCCTTGTACAAGTCTTGTACAGGCAACTACAGTTGTTCAACTTTATATTTTCAAGACTAATGTTGCTCCTCTACATTGATACTGTCATCACTCGTGTGTGTGTGTGTGTGTGTGTGTGTGTGTGTGTTGGCAATGGACTCAAAGCCTTCCCCATGCTAGGCAGACACTGTACCACTGAGCTACACCACCAATGCAAGTAATTCTACTTGTAATACCAATACTTCTCTTCCTAGTTCTTCCACTATTCCCATTGCTTCTGATAACATTAACAATCCCTAAGGCTTTTGTTGCCATTTGGGAAATAATAGTATGTTGTACTCTTATACTTTGTCCTCACACTATAAACTTTCACATGCTAAAAATTAAGGAATCTGAAGAACTACAGGTCCAGTAGCATTCAAATTTGGGAAATGCATATATATATATGTTTTTAAAATTATTTATTTTAATTTTATGTGTATGAGTACATTCTCTGCATGTGTGCAAGTACACCCATGGCATGCAATATGCACGGAGGTCAGAAGAAGGCGCTGGATCCCCTGGAACTGGAGTTAAGGATGGTTGTTACAGCCACAATGTAGGTGCTGGGACTCGAACCTGGGTCCTCTGAAAGAGCAACCAGTGCTCTTAACTGCTAAGCCATCTCTCCAACCCCAGGAAATATATAATGATTCAAGGGGTTAACTTGGAGAACTGTTCTTCAAATAACTCAAAAACTCCTACTTTAAGGAGAATTATATCATGTTAAAAATGAAAATGAAGGAAATAGAAAATTGTTTGTTGTGTTTCCATTCCTATCCACAGCTTCAGCACATTAAGACACACAGGGACAAAATACTGTGAATAGAGATCAACCCTTTCTCAACTAAACCCTCAGGGGACAGAAAACCAGGATTTAGATACACACTATTTTGTTGAGAGGGAAGAGTGACTCAGACCACAAGAGAAAGGAAACAGGAAGAGGTAATTAACCCAGCCACCTCAGTGCTCTGGCATTTTTGTATTTAGACTCTTACACATCACTTCAATTTGCACTTTTTTATGTATTTCATATGTGTTTGTACTTCATGTGTGTGCCCTGCTTACTCATCTGGCTTGTAAACATGACTGTCTTACAAAATTTAAAAGGAAAGCTAATAAAAGAGAGGAAAAGAAGCAAGAGTAGACTGCAAGAATAAAGGAGGCAAAGACGACCCTTCATTGGGTAGGGACTTGGCCATGCTGTCAGATGTTGGGCGCACCCTCCAGGTTAAACACCCACTTTAATGCCATACTAAGCTTACATTTTTGTCACGATGAGGCAAAAGGGTTTTTTTTCTGTCTAATTTGCTCTTTTCTATGAGATGCCTTTGTACTAAATCACAATACACACACCCTTTCTCTAACACTGAGGTCACTGATTCTCATTTGAACCAGTCGATTAACAGTAAATCTCAGAAAGAAGATTGGAAATTTTCCAACCACATAAATATGACTTTTTGGTTCTCTGGCTCTTTCGTCTTTAGTAGCTACAACCTTACCTCCCTTGGACTGCCCTCTGTTTTAAGAAACATACTTTTCTTAAAGGCAATACAACTTTCATTCTTGAACAACACTCATTTTCCATTACTGTCCTCATTTGAACCATCACATAATCCTGTTGTCCATAGAGTGCACCTCAGTTGTCCAGAGGCTAGACAGTGGCAGCTTGGTAGGCATAGCAATGAGAGATATAACCATACCACCATTTCTCAGTGGACTGATAATTAAGTCCTTAACGATTTGCTAGCATTATCTGCTGGGGTTGGCACAATGTACCAAAGCTGTGTCTGAAACCAAAGTCAAGGTATATTTGTGCTAAAGTATGACTGCATCCCATTGGGTTCCAGATCAGGCCTCTGTAAAGGGAAGGACGGGCTCATTTTAATAAGGATTGAGAAAGAGTTCCATATGTATTAACATTAATTATTAAAATCAATCATTTACCATACTCTGACCTTTTAATAAGAGTTATGGTAACTGCTTGATGTAGATTAACTTATCTAGATAATGGCACCCATTAAAGAGAAACTCTAAATATCTGTATTTATTACATAAGAAACCTAAAACTTAGAGACCTACAGTGACTGCACTGTGGGAGTGATGATCTCTACAGTAAGTGGCACTTTGAAATGTGAGCATTGAAATGCAGGCTATCTGAACCCAAAGTCCTTGTAGCTAGATGCTGCTCACAATACGTCTTCTGTTTCTCTTCATTTCAACCTCATTCTACCTATCTCATTCTCAACTGCTCTGAAGTTTTGTTTTGCATTATTTTCCAAAAAGAAAGAATACAAGGGAAAATAAGGCATTTTAAGGCAGTAACTGATAGAATCCTGTCCTATGGGGGTGCTTTCCCAATATCATAGTCTAGGAGCAGTAAGAGTTAAGACATGGAGACGAACTGAGAATTCCATACCTGCTGCATGTCAGGGCAGCCCCATGATTGCACCATGACCTTCCTGAGTCATTTTTTTGTTGTTATTTTATTGTATTACCAAGCCATTTCCTTCCTGAGTTTAACACATTCGATTTCCAGTGCACTTTTCGTTGCTGGATTTAATTTTCATTCACTTCCGTGTGTAGAAATGGAAATCATTTACTTTAAGACCTGGTCATTTGGGGCAGGTATTACCATCATCATTTTCCTAATAGGCTCAGAGAACTGATAAGACAGGCCCCATGTCAAATTCATTTTTAGCCAGAATAGAGCTAGAACTTAAACTTAGGCCCCTATATCTGAATGCAGGCTCTTGAAGCATCTGTTGTATAAATGCCAAGTGTTCAATAGCTCCTTTGTCCCAGTTACCTGCCTTCTACTAAATACATCCAAGGTCCTTTAATTCACTCACAAACCTAGTTCGCGTTCCTCATTTTTCACCCCAGTGACTGGCAGCACCGTGCAGGTGTGTGAGTCAGAAATCCACTGTTCCCTTCAGGGTTTCTTCCTCCTTCACTCACATGCCCTTGCCCTATATATACTCAGTGACAGAGTCATGTAGGTTTTATGTCCAGTACATAAAAGTACAATTTTCCTTTCATGCCTACCAACCTACCATCTCTCTGGACACCTTAGATGGTCATCTAACTTATTTCCATTTTCTTCTTCTTGTCCACTTTAAAGCCATTTTCACATTGAAGCCAGGATCATCTTTTATAATATAGATGCAGTCAGGCTACAGATGTCATCCTAATTGTCTTTTGGGAATGATTCCATTTCCATTCTTGAATAAAATTCAAAGACCCGAACATAGTCAACAAAGTCTGACATGATCTGGCCCTTGCTGTACCGCCAGCCTTGTGTATGAATCCACACATTATATCCTACTTGCATGTTCCCATTTCCTCAAACGCTGCACAACACTTCCTGTGGTTATTCTCCCCCTTCTCTGGTTCACTCACAACCCCACCTCTCCTAAATTGCATTCATGGCTACTTGTTCTTCAGTCTCCAATTCAGGTGCTCCCTTCTCAGGGACAACTTCTCTGTTGTCGTCTATGTTCTCTTTTGTAGAACTATTGCTGTTCTTGCTATTAACACTTATCATTGTTGCAACGTTTCATTTATTTGTGGCATTATTTGCTTCATTTCTATCTCCCTTAACGACAATACTTCCTTCCGTTTAATCTTTGCATGCTCAGTGCCAAACCTAAGACATGGTTGGTAAGCAATGTGTATTTGCTGACTGAACGAAAGCTAAATGAAAGCAAGCACTTTCTTTCCTGTACAGGTAATACTCACCAGGTGCCTGAACAAGAAGGTTGTAGACTGTATTCTGGATGCCTTCTGGGTACAGAGTAAAGCTACACTCATACTTTCCACTGAGAGTGGAAGAGACATTTCTTAAGTGCAGAGTCCATTTTGTTGCATTCCCAGGAGTTTCTATGGAAGCCACATGTGACTCACAAGGATGCCCATGGGGACAGTGGAAACCATGTTGAGGATGGTAAATGGCAATTAGCTCTACTTTATCAGTGACCTTAGACCATTGCATCTGTACCAAGAAGCCCTTCTGTGTCTGGCAGGTCAAGTTGACATCAGAACCAGGTGGAGCATAAACACTTTTTCTTGCATTGAGAATTTCTTCCCATACTCCTGGAAAGGAAAGATGTGAGTCGTCAGTTTGTATAATTCACATGAGTGACTTCTTTGAGTTGTGTGTGTGTGTGTGTGTGTATTTAAAATTATTTTTGGTGCACATACAAGATCCAGAATGACTCTTAATTACCCTGGTTACCTTAGGGGTAGAAAGCAGCTTGTGTCTGGTTGATGTAGATAAGGAAGCTCAAGATTCAACAACAATGAGGTCTTCTTTGGGAAAAGTAGAGGAAACTATCCACAACTGAATAATTCTGTCTCTTTGCCCAAAAAGTAAATGAAGGTCCCTGACTACCTGTGAATAAAAGTAAGCCTATTTCGCAGATTTATTTTTATTATTTAAAAAATTATGTGTATGTGTTGAGGGGGTATGTACACATGAGTACAGGCATGCATGGAGGCTAGAGGTGTTGGATTTCCCTGGAGCTGAAGTTGTAAGCCACCTGACATGGGTCCTGGAAACCAAATTAGGGTCCTCTAGAAAAGCAGCAAGCACTCTTAATCGCCAAGCCACCTCCCCAGTCCCATAAAATTAAGCTTATTTAAAAAAGAGACATGACTCAGCAGACAGGATGACAACACTATTCATGCATGTAATAGAGTTGACCACTTTGGGTTATAAATCAACAGCTGCACACAGTGTACACTCGAGGCTTGCTAAGACTACAGAAAGAACTAGTATACAGTAGCGTCTTGTGTTTTTAAGAGTCTTTTACACATGCTGTTCCTCATATACTGTAAGACTGATAGTGTCACCCTTCTTTATTAAAGAAGGAAAGTGAAGTCCTGAGAACTGAAGTGGCTTGCTCAGAGACACACCTGTAGAGAACACGAATTCCCTTCTCAATCACACACATCTACTGTGTTCTTTTAACCTTCACAACTACAAACTGCTTTTCACATTCAGTCTGGCTGAGTAGAGTAAGAAATTTGATATTCCCTCTGTGAGGATGGAAAGGACCTTCATCTCCATGCAGTTAGATCTCCTGAGGAGACAAGAGGAGATGCCTCAGATGGGGATTCCCCAGGGCATCATTTCTACTCAATGCCCTGAAATGAGAGGCATAAAAGGAGATTCTCCCATCAGTAATGTGACTTTACACCATACAGAGCACTTCACATTTTTTCAGCATTGAGTCTTTGATATGTCTTCAGAAATGTTGGCCTCCATTTTAGAATTTACTTGGAATACTATTATAGAAATGATATACTATTGTGAAAAGCCTCCCTGAAGCTCACAAAAGGAAAAGATAAAAAGATGACAAGCTGCTGGGAAGAAACAAGTTTTCAAAGGTACTTGACAAATGGGAATTATTATACTTTTGTGGATGCAAAAAGTTGGGGTAGACAGAGGTTACACTGTTGTGTGTAACTCCCTGTGAGTTACCCTTTTGTAATATGCCTATGATCCTATCTAGAACACCAATTCCAATGTGTCCTTTGATTTGGAAACTCTTAATATCTTCATACAAAGTTAATTCTTAAGACGCTCAGGCTCACTGCAATACACTTGTACTATGGTATTCAGAATCAATCTTTCATTTTTCATTTTTACATAGGCCTTTTAGATTCTGATTCCCACTACTAGAAGGACTCACTTTGGCCTCCAGGGGATGACTTGTATACAACTGAGTAAAAGTGTATGCCTAAACCAGGCATGGTGATGCACGTCTTTAATCCTAGCACTCAGAAGGTATAGGCAGGTGGATCTCTGTGAGACTGAGGCCAGTCTGGTCTCCATAGAGTTCCAGGCCAGATATAGATAGATGATAGATAGATAGAGAGATAGGATGGATAGATATAGATGATATAGATAGAAATAGATAGCTCCAATTCTTAAAACATTGGCATTGGGAAGAGAGATATTTGTTGATTCACAGAGAAAAGAAATTCTTGAGAGAGGCTTAAAGACTGAGCAATGATCTCTGAACCAGGATGTGGGATGTTTTCAGTTGTTTGCAGTTGTTCTGACTATTGTCAGAGAGCATTTCATTCCCAAAAGGCACAATTTCCAACTACTTGAGAACCTTTGAAGAAGGAAAAAGGTGAAAACAGTCCAGAGAGATGGCACAAACCATCCATTCCCTTCTTGGTTTCAGTGCCCATTAGTAAATCTTTCTAGACTCTAGTGCCTGTCTCAGAACTGCCACCTAAATACACAACCAAAAACCTTAGCAATAGTTTGCTCTTTGGTGATTAACAGCAGTAATGAGGCATTTTGAAGGAGCAGAGGCCCCTAAAGCAGCTATCTGCAAAAGAAAAAGATGACCAGAATTCTTACCCCTGAACAACTGTATCTGGATGATGGAATAAACTGCGCAGTATGTCCATTTTCTCCCCATGGTCTCCTGAAGCGCCTACACCAGCATTTCCGTAACAATCACACAAGTCAATTGATGTCTCTAGCTAAGCAAACTCCAGCCACCCTATTCGTGCTCAAAACCCCAACTCTACCACAGGGCTGGGGCCGTTTCTCACTTGGCAAGTCCCCAGGAAGTGAAACACAGACAGGAAAGGAGTGTGGTTCAAGGCAAATATAACCTTCACCAGAACAATACAGAAACTCTTCTCTGAAATCTTGTGTCTCACATTTAAAAAGAATTTTCTGTATCCCAAGATTCTTTCCTTCAGTCTCTGTCAGTCAAGCTGCTTCTAAAATCCAAACAAAGGAAATCATGCAGAGCAGGTCCCTGTGTGCTTTTTATGCATTTCCTTTCAAGAATACAAAATCATTTAGCAAATAGGAGCAACTTTAGCACTGTTTCAGTCCAATCTTAAGATATATTTTCTTTGCAGTATTGCCTCAGGATGAAAGACCAATGATTAGCATATTTAATTTTAATAAACTCTGAAAAATAGCAGGAAGTAATGTCAACTCTCAAACTGGATTTTATTGTCTCTCTTCTTGTAGGGAAATGCATATTTCTTGGGAGAGGAGAAGTGAAGGAGCCTTTTCCCTATCTCCCATCAGCTGATAAACTGAGGTCAGATGGGGATGTCTCTCAATGTCTGGGGGCTTTTTTTTTGGTGATGGTGGAGGAGCTTATCTGTGGCTAAGCCAAAGCCATATAGAACATGGCAGTAATATGTCAGTGAGGGTAGGCCAGGTATTTCTGACAGTGATTTTACCAGAGAGGATTAGGGAACTCAAGTTCTTGAAGGAAGGGTGAGAAGCAGCATGACTGCTCTGGGTTCCTTTCTTCTTTGCAACTGGGAATCCTCGTTAGTCAGTGATGGGGCATATCAGTAAAGCAGTCCAGGAGATGTGTTATAAAGTTCCTGATCTGACAGTTGGTGTCCCTATAGGTTAGGACACGTTCTATGCCTGGAGAAGGGACTTTGCCATGTTACTCCATTTGTCATAAAGATTCAAATTTAATAAATTCTTTGATGGCATCTTCTTTGGTGTATTTACAAATCTCTTGCTGCATTAAAGTGGAGCAAGTTTTCAAAAAAAGAGAGAACATTTCACAAACAGAAACTGTTATTTATTTTCCAGAGCTACAGGTTTACTTTGAATAACTTCCTTCCTCTCATCAGGGTGGTTAGTAGAGATATTCTTTCAGTGGCTATTGTACAAATCTTCCTCCTCTAGTTATTTTTTGTCTCCTGGCTCATGATTTTTATGCTCAGGAACTCCTGTGGCCTGAAGACACCAGATTTCACTAATTTTCCTTTGGGATCTACTTAGACTTTGAGGAAAGAAACATTTCAGATGCCCATGGTATATGAACCGAATGCATCTGCTGCCCTGAAGCTGCAAGACCCAGGTGGCAGCCCCTCCATGGCTGTTTGCTTGCAGCAGGTGGCAGCAACAGCTCGCAGACCAAGAACGGCTGTCCCAGGTGATGGGAATGGCCTCCACAGCTTTTTGATGCTGGTAATATTTCTAAAGGCCTTTCCAGCAAGAAGATAGGCATTCTCTGTACTTAAAAATAACTCTTCTCTGGAAGCCATGTCAATCTTTCCTATTATCCTCTCTGCTCACCAAGTCCCAAACTGCGCAGCCTTCCCCTGCCTTGTATTTCAGTCTGCTGCATATGAAAAGGAAACAGAAACCGTCAGCTTTACAATGTGAAAAGAAAACTTGAACTTTGTGAACTTCAGAGGCAAACTCAATTATTTACAAAGAGAAGTTGGAACACATATTTATTTCTCCCAGAGGCAAGCAAGAATTGTGTATTTGGACAAACTTCTAAAATGCTCTTCTATCTAAATATACTCATTAGGAAAGGACTTTCAGAAATGGGAAGGTGAACAAGAGGTTAACTCATTTTTGTGGCTTCTACAGCAGTTAACTTAAATATAACTGATTTGTTCTTTATTTTCTTCCATAAATTATAAAACTTTGGAGTGTTTTACTTGTATATGCTTCCCAGCATGCTTGGAAACCACAATGCTTATTTCAGTTAATTAAAAATATTTATGGTCAACCTTCCAGAGGGGCCACTGAAGAGGCACATCTCTAAGAAATTTTAAAATATAAGGGACGAGGGGCTAGAGAAATGGCTCAGTGGTTAAGAGCACTGATTGCTCTTGTCGAGGACCCGGTATCAATTCCCAACACCCACATGACAGCTAAGAACCATCCTTAACTCCAGTTCCAAGAGAATCCGACACCCTCTTCTGACCTCTGAGGCATTGCATGACATGCGTACACTCACATACATGTAGGGAATACACTTGTACACATAAAACTAAAAATAAAAAGTATTTAAAATATAAGGGATGAAACACAGCCTCTGTTCTCAAAACACTTGCCATTCAGCTGAGGAAGAATATCCATGTGTATCAAAAAAAACGAAAATAAAAAACAAAAACAACACCCAGATAACACAAAACACAGAGTGACTGATTAGTACAGGACTTAGAAATGAAAAGGAGATGGTCTAGGGACGGAGCAGGCCAGGATGACCTCAAGTATGGAATCTGAACTTGCCTTACATGTCACAGAGGTCATCCTGCTGGAAACCACAAAGTAAGTTAGTCTAGGCAGAGGAAAGAAGAGTGTTGAAGAAGTTTAGGGCAGATGTAGTACATAGACTGTTCTCAGAGCAGAATCTATATTAGAAACCAAGCCATGCAGAGTTAAGCTTAGATGGCAGAGGTCTTTCAATTTTAGGCTAAGGAAGGAGGCTTTCTTTTTTATGTGGGAATTATTATAGGATGTTTCAGCATCAGCATAATGTAATATTGTTTTGAAAGATGAATGGGTGGACAGAGGCAAGTTGAATGAAGGAAAGGTAAATGGGGAGGCAGAATTCACTGGGTCTGCACTAGAGTGGGCCCATCAGACATGGATAGAGGAGGGGCTCAAGCGGCCCTATCTCTCACGGCTGAACTGTTTGCTATTGAGAGATTCAAGGAAAGGGGGAGACATTGCCTTCAGTTATGTACCCACTGGTGACCCCACCAGATTCCAACAGATCATTCTAATCCAATGGTCATACAGCTGACCCTGGTTAAACTAAATGCATCATAGAACAAAACCAAAAGTTATGAATTTAGGACAAAGGCAGGCATAGAGGAGAGAGTTTGATAGGGATGGAAGGAAAGAGTAATGAGACTACACTGTATATATGTATGAAGGAGACCATTTTCTGTTTCCCTAGGCAGTTTGGGAAGAGGGCCTGCTGGTTGGCAGCAGTGACCACAGTGTAATGGGAATATGGAAATTACCAAGAAAAAAGAGGTAGGTCATGGTATCCATGTGGATGTGGAGCCAAAATCTGCTCTGAAGTTTCATGGCTCCATATTTGAAGACCAGAAAAGCTAGCAGTACTGCATCCCTGTTGGAAGAGCCATCCCCATCAGACAGCAATTGTCCAAGGTGCAGGGGGCCTGGCACAGAAGTAAGAGACAGCCTGCTTCAGCATGGCCAAAGGTCCTATCCTCAGCACGGTGACTTCCTCCTTTGAGTTTTTCACTCAAAGGAGTTCTATGACTACTGTGTAGTGAAACAAAATTTCATAACATTTTCATCATGGCCATCTATTTCACCACTGCTATTTTTGACACATTCATATCCATAAAAGAACAAGTTTAGTTTAATAGATATATTATTTCAGTTGCAATATCATTATCTGCTCATCATGAGAAAAGATTTTAGAGAAATAACAAAGAAAATAAAAAGCTATTGGAATTCTAAGTACCCCAAAACTTGTATATGTCTCTAAACTTTTATAAATATGTCCTAGAAAGAATATTAATTTTTACATGTCATTAATATGAACTTTTTTCCTTCATAATGTATTATAGACATGCATGTTATAGAACACAGATACACTATTTGTTTTTAAAGTAGTTGCATAAAATTCCATTGTATAGTGTGTAGAAAGATAATTTTACAATAAAAATTCAAGTTACAGAGTTGAAAAACTGGCGAATAGTCATTTTTAATAGCAAACTAAAACAAGTTGAGGGAATTGATATTTGTTGCTTTTTTATAATAGGATAACTCAGCGCAGCCTCAGTAATGTTATTAGAGAATAGGAAGTTGGGCATGTTAGCACTTCTCCAGTGACTGAGAACCAAACTGTACTCTTTTCTTGAAGTAAAGTTGTTATGGGAAGAAATGAGTGGTGCAGAGAAGGGTAATTAATCATGGTCATTGAATGTCTCTGGAAAATGCAGTGTTGCTTCTCTGTCCTCTGTCCCTGCTTTTCTTTCTTCTGCTTGGTCAAGTCTAGTGGTGATGATTTTCACTGCGATTTTTTTTTTTGATTCACTGAGTTTTTCGTTTCTAATACTTCAACTTTCCCCCCAAGCCAGTTTCCTTGCTGCAGTTTTCTTCCACACTTCTGAGTTTTAATTCATATTGCTTATTTTCTCATCCATTTGCTGAATTCCTTCTGTTACTGATTTTCCTCCTAAGTCCTTGTATTGATTTGCCGGCTTGTCTGTACCTGCTTTCAGGTCATCAATCATTTTTACTGGTAGATTTCTGAAATCTTCATTCAGCACTTTATCTGCTGCATGATCTCTGAATTCAGTCATTCAGAAGATGTAATTTTTCCTGTAGGAATCACATTGCCTTACATTTTCATGCTTCTTGTGATTCTCAAGTGTGATTTCCACACTTGTTGGCTTGGATAACTCTTCTGATTTTATTTGGGCATCTTCTTATTGAGTAATCTACTTCTGAGGTCTCAATCCCCAGCATCACCCAGTAGGCAGAAAACAAACTGCGTAACAATACCAAACTGTGCATGCAAGTTACAGAAATATACACGTGAATCACCGAAAACCACAGAACAGAAAATGCTGTTTATGTGCTCTGAATTTGAAAATGATTTAGGGTAAGTAGAAGCAAGAAATAAATGAGACAAGGAAGGAGTCCAGGAAAGGGGGATATAGGACAGAAGCAAGGTTAGATAGAATAAAGGAAAAAGGAGGCTGGCAAAGAATGCTATGTGTGGGGAGAGAGACGAACAAGAG